AAAAGAAATAGATGTTATCTCATTGAGAATTACAGCACCTAGATAAAGGTTAGATACAGGCGTACAATATATTGAATGTATGTATACAGTTTACATATAGTATTTAGTCAAAATAAATGTATAAACACAACCGGTATACGGCAGGCCTATATTGGCTGCACACAGCAGTACATTTAATGCAAGGACTTTAAATGAAAATGTTGTTAAGACTACTAGTCTATAAGGGACCAGAGCAAACAGAACTATAAATAATATAATATTATTATACATTACATCAGCCTCAAGGTAAAAGTTATATTATTTAAAGCGTATTGTTGTTGGCCAGACTTTTCGAATAGGAGTTAAATTGGTCTGAATCGATCTGCCGGTGCATCAGCCAATAATTCTTAACCAGCAGTATATTATATTATTACTGGAAGAAACCTTGAGTTCTCCAAAACACAATATTGATCTCAGTCCTTACAGGCAAAGCAAGGAGGAGCGAAGGTGCAGACTAGGGATTAACACCGGTACCAGGACCCCGCGACTGTTCCGGGAAATCGAATGTCAAGACCCGGGGAATTACAAAAAATTTCCCCAATGTGGCACTAATGCAATTTCACAAAATACACAACATGCGCAGCGTCAGATTAACAAAAAATAAAACAGCACATTGTCCAAACAGGTTGTCGCATGGAAGCCTTTAGCCTAGCGTATTTACTTCACAATAGCCATGGAAGCCTTTAGCCTAGCGTATTTACTTCACAATAGCCATGGAAGCCTTTAGCCTAGCGTATTTACTTCACAATAGCCATGGAAGCCTTTAGCCTAGCGTATTTACTTCACAATAGCCATGGAAGCCTTTAGCCTAGCGTGTTTACTTCACAATAGCCATGGAAGCCTTTAGCCTAGCTTATTTAAAGCACACGCATAATTGACACCGCCGGACTGCACACGCGACCTGAATGCGGTTAATAAACCCTGCGGGAAACCCCCTACAGTATAGCCTATAAAAGAATGTGTGCCTCTTTGAGCTGTCATTGTGACCCTTCAGACAAATCACATGTGATAGGCCTATGGACAGTTCACTACATAGGCATCTCTGCCACGGACATGAAGTCTGTTAACAATTCAATTTATTATATTATATTATTATTATATTAATTCAGAGAGGCATGAGAGGGAAAATTCTATCTTCTCCTGTGCTGGAGCCTAAGCTATTTTCCTATCCAAGTCCCAATCTAATTGAAACCCAAAATCCTGACTCCTGTCCCACATGAACAATTCCTAACTTTATTCTGTAATCCATAGGTTGCATTACTAAAGCACGTTCTACTAAGCTAACATCTGGGATTGTTTTAAAATGGTCATACCAAGGATCATTTAGCTACAGTATTTGATTTGGAGTTTTAGGACCCCTTAAGGTATTCATTCATTTTTAAACTGGTACCAAGCTACCTTCAGACTAGTCTTGAGAGGCTTGTGGGCGTCCTAGTGAGAGACTGAGGGGGTCATATTAGGCCAAACGGTTTAGACGCTACAGACAGAAGTTGGCAGATCAGATGTACCGACTTCAAAAGTGTCCCAAGACCCTTGTGGGGTTGTAGAGCAAAAATGGTGAGAGTCTCGTCTTTCATAATAGGGGTCATAATAGTTTTTAGGCCAAACCGTTCGGACGCTACAGACGTTTCCGTGAGAAGACCAATTTTCGGGATGTTTCCTGGTCTGACACACACCGCTCTAGCTCTGCTACCTTCCACCGCAGATGCGGAGGTGAGACACTGGCGGATGTGGTGGATCGAGACGCATCCAATGCAGATATCTCTACCTTCAACTGATGGATTCTGATGGGGATTGTTGTATTAGTCCTGTGGTGCCGGGGGACATCGACTCTAGGGGGTTAAAACTATTTCCACTCTTCATCGCCCCGTTATTCATGAGCTGATCTGCTATCTGTATATCCAGGCTCTGTCGTAGCCGGCCGCGACCGGGAGACCCATGGGGCGGCGCACAATTGGCCCAGCGTCGTCCAGGGTAGGGGAGGGAATGGCCGGCAGGGATGTAGCTCAGTTGGTAGAGCATGGCGTTTGCAACGCCAGGGTTGTGGGTTCGATTCCCACGGGGGGCCAGTATGAAAAAAAAATAAAATAAATGTAGGCACTCACTAACTGTAAGTAGCTCTGGATAAGAGCGTCTCTGCTAAATGACTAAAAATATAAAAATGTATAATCAACTCGATGTTGTCAAATATAGGATAATATTCTGTCATTCGTTGAAGGCGGTTATCTAGCAAACTTAGCAACTTTGAGCATTTTGACTGCTGTTACAAAGTTTGTGTGATTCTATACTCGGGGGTGCACTCTGATAGCCTGCTGCTGAAAAGCACATTTACATTTTAGTCATTTAGCAGACGCTATTATCCAGAGCGACGTTATCCAGAGCGACGTTATCCAGAGCGACGTTATCCAGAGTGACGTTATCCAGAGCGACATTATCCAGAGCGACGTTCATCACGCTCCATGGTAACGCTCTGAACGGCCTGTTTCGCAAATTCACAACAATGTCATTGGCCGATCAAAGACTTTTATCGTCACCAAATATCAGTTTCATTTGTTCTGAAATCTTTACATATTGGCGCAGACAAGCCGACAAGGTGGCCCTGCGCCCCTCTCATTTGGGGAGAACCCTGGCATATCTTGGTTTTAAACGCTTTAAATGGCCACTTCCAATTTTTTTCTGCATTTCCCGGAACTCTCTGGATAAATATGAATTATTCCCGGTAATACATTATCCTTAGTGCAGACAGGAGCTTCGCGCAAATGCAGGGTCATACACTGTCAGACTCAGTTTCCTTTCACCTGCCCAGTTCTGTCAATGCAGATGAAGGAGAGGAGACAAGGAGAGTATTGAGATGCAACCCAAACCACCAGTTACCGCCCCGCCCCTCCGTGCTACTTGCTGTTCACTCTCTTCCTGCAGCTGGAAAATAGCAGGTCACATGACCTGAGTGTCCCATTCCCTTCCTCCACCGTCTCCCTGATCAACGATCTGAAAACAATGGGGATTGGTGTGTAACTAAGCATTCATTTCCACCGTATCCCCTCACACCAATCCGCACCAGTGCTCACTCCAGGGAAACGTGAGAGGGAATCAAGAGAAAGGGGATTGGTCTATTGTGGAGTAGGGCGAAGTTTCCCCTTAGACACTGTTCTAAGGTCAGTTTTGCATTTCCCCACTAATGGTTAAGGTAAGGATTGGGGGAGGTAAAGCAGATCCCAGATCTGTAGCCAGATTGGTCTATTGTAAGCTGAGGAGGCAGGAAGCTAAGTCTGTCACCACCCTCACTTAGCACCGCCACACAGCCAGCCCGGCAGCAAGGCCAGGCCTCTGTCAACAAACAAAAATTAGGACTCCCATAGGAGCCGGAGAGCTAGCCTATTGTACCATAGGGACAACAAAAACGTTATACCAGACCTGGGTTCAAATACTATTCAAAATCTTTTTTGAATACTTTAGATGGGCTTGATTCACCTCGCCTTGCTCAATGGATCCCACAGAATCAAAACCACGCCCATATGGTAACTCCATGAAGGCTAGAGCACACCTAAAAGTATTTGAAAGATTTCAAATAGTATTTGAACCCAGGTCGGCACAACACGTATTTAGGGAGTGGGGTGAGTTTCCCTGGTAGGCTAGGACACTGAGGGCTAGGGCTACTGTAGTGTAGTGTAGGAAACTATACTGTGGAAGAGGGCATAGGGTGCGTCCCAAAATGGCACCCCCTATTCCCTATATGGTGCACTACTTTTTAGTTGTGCACTATATAGGGAATAGGGTGTCATTCGGGATGCATTCATAGGTACTAGGGCTCTGTTATCAACTCATTGGGGCCAAGGTTTTTAATGCATCACTAACGCTAGATGACATCGGAGAGACTGACATTACCTCAGAGGCTGTGGAAAGTCAACAAGAGCTAATAGGGGAAAATTAACATGACAGAAAGACGATCTGTTTAAATTAACATAGAAGTGGCCTTGTGTATCTTTAGCCGTTGACTAACTATTAGATGCTTCGTTAAAATACTTTACGACAAAGTGAGAAATTACATTTAGCTGTCTTTATCTCATTCTGTGAGTCAAAGAGCTATGATGTGACAGGCTGTCACACCTACAAATACTCATCAGAAAAGTTTTGAATGATTCCATAACCTGATGTTGACTATGTAATCCACCGTTATACATTATTATACACGTTGTGTTCCACTGCCTGGGTCACCAAGGTACCAGTTAACTCAATAGAAGTGATCACTGTGAGGTTTGCATGGATAATACTGTCACGCCCTGGCCTTGAGAGGCCTGTTGTCTATAGTTGGTTTGATCAGGGAGTGAGGATCTATGTTAGAATTTCTATGTTTAGGATCTAGATGTGTATTTCTAGGTTTGGCCGGGTGTGATTCCCAATCAGAGGCAGCTGTCGCTCGTTGTCTCTGATTGGGGATCATACTTAAGTAGCCTGTTTGCCTACCTTAGTTGTGGGATCTTGTTCCGTGTTAGGCTCGTATGTGTTTAGCCGGAGGACGTCACGTTGGTTCTTGTTTTGTTTATGTTTATTGAGTTTAATAAACATGTACGCTTTTCACGCTGCACCTTGGTCTGACCCGTCTCTCAACGTTCGTGACACAGGCTATGTCATGCGTCAGTGTGTAAATCAGAATATAATATGTTTCTAAACACTTCTACATTAATGTGGATGCTACCATGATTACGGATAGTCCTGAATGAATCGTGAATAATGATGAGTGAGAAAGTTACAGAGGGTCAAAGATCATACCCCCAAGACATGCTAACCTCTCACCATTACCATGTCATGCGTCAGTGTGTAGCGGTAGGACGGGGTCAGGCGCAGGACACAGAACTTAGTCAACGACGTACTTTACTTGTCACAAGTAAATTAACATATATACCGACTCACATGTCAATGACAACAAAACAACGAACAATCACGCACAACACCATGAGGGAACCAGAGGGAAAAATAGGGAAACAAATTATCGTAATTGGAACCAGGTGTGGGCAATATAGACAAAACAAGTAGAACACAGAAACATCGATCGGTGGCAGCTAGTACTCCGGTGACGACGAACGCCGAAGCCTGCCCGAGCAAGGAGGAGGAGCAGCCTCGGCTGAATCCGTGACACACTACTCATCCTACTCTTATTTGTTATACAGCAAGAACAGCCGTCATCAAAGGTGAACTTGTGTGGACGAAAGCAAGTAATTTCAATGAGTTTGTCTTTCAGAAGGCAGCATATCAATACACAGAGCGTCTCCACTCCCTCCTTGTGCAAAGTGAAAGGAAGGAAATGGAGGACCATCAAGGTGATAGTCGTTATGTAAGGTGATGCTAATGGTACACAAGGTGATAGTCGTTATGTAAGGTGATGCTAATGGTACACAAGGTGATAGTTGCTATTTAAGGTGATGCTAATGGTACACAAGGTGATAGTCGTTATGTAAGGTGATGCTAATGGTACACAAGGTGATAGTTGCTATTTAAGGTGATGCTAATGGTACACAAGGTGATAGTTGCTATATAAGGTGATGCTAATGCTACACAAGGTGATAGTCGTTATGTAAGGTGATGCTAATGGTACACAAGGTGATAGTTGCTATATAAGGTGATGCTAATGGTATACAAGGTGATAGTTGCTATATAAGGTGATGCTAATGGTACACAAGGTGATAGTTGCTATATAAGGTGATGCTAATGGTACACAAGGTGATAGTTGCTATATAAGGTGATGCTAATGGTGCACAAGGTGATAGTTGCTATATAAGGTGATGCTAATGGTACACAAGGTGATAGTTGCTATATAAGGTGATGCTAATGGTACACAAGGTGATAGTTGCTATATAAGGTGATGCTAATGGTACACAAGGTGATAGTCGCTATATAAGGTGATGCTAATGGTACACAAGGTGATAGTTGCTATATAAGGTGATGCTAATGGTACACAAGGTGATAGTCTCTCTTCTCCAGACCATCTCCGGTGACCTTCTCCCTTACCTCACCTCGCTGATCAACTCATCCTTGACCGCTGGCTATGTCCCTTCCGTCTTCAAGAGAGCGAGAGTTGCACCCCTTCTCAAAAAACCAACACTCGATCCCTCTGATGTCAACAACTACAGACCAGTATCCCTTCTTTCTTTTCTCTCCAAAACTATTGAGCGTGCCGTCTTTAGCCAACTCTCTTGCTATCTCTCTCAGAATGACCTTCTTGATCCAAACCAGTCAGGTTTCAAGACTGGTCATTCAACTGAGACTGCTCTTCTCTGTGTCACGGAGGCTCTCTGCACTGCTAAAGCTAACTCTCTCTCCTCTGCTCTTGTCCTTCTAGACCTGTCTGCTGCCTTTGATACTGTGAACCATCAGATCCTCCTCTCCACCCTCTCCGAGCTGGGCATCTCCGGCGCGGCTCACTCTTGGATTGCGTCCTACCTGACCGGTCGCTCCTACCAAGTGGCGTGGCGAGAAGCTGTCTCCGCACCACGTGCTCTCACCACTGGTGTCCCCCAGGGCTCAGTTCTAGGCCCTCTCCTATTCTCGCTATACACCAAGTCACTTGGCTCTGTCATATCCTCACATGGCCTCTCCTATCATTGCTACGCAGACAACACACAACTAATCTTCTCCTTTCCCCCTTCTGATAACCAGGTAGCGAATCGCATCTCTGCATGTCTGGCAGACATATCAGTATGGATGACGGATCACCACCTCAAGCTGATCCTTGGCAAGACGGAGCTGCTCTTCCTCCCGGGCAAGGACTGCCCGTTCCATGATCTTCGCCATCACGGTTGACAACTCCGTTGTGTCCTCCTCCCAGAGTGCGAAGAGCCTTGGCGTGACCCTGGACAACACCCTGTCGTTCTCCGCTAACATCAAGGCGGTGACCCGATCCTGTAGGTTCATGCTCTACAACATTCGGAGTGTACGACCCTGCCTTACACAGGAAGCGGCACAGGTCCTAATCCCGGCACTTGTCATCTCCCGTCTGGATTACTGCAACTCGCTGTTGGCTGGGCTCCCTGCCTGTGCCATTAAACCCCTACAACTCATCCAGAATGCCGCAGCCCGTCTGGTGTTCAACCTTCCCAAGTTCTCTCACGTCACCCCGCTCCTCCGCACACTACACTGGCTTCCAGTTGAAGCTCGCATCTGCTACAAGACCATGGTGCTTGCCTACGGAGCTGTGAGGGGAACGGCACCTCCGTACCTTCAGGCTCTGATCAGTCCCTACACCCAAACAAGGGCATTGCGTTCATCCACCTCTGGCCTGCTGGCTCCCCTACCTCTGCTGAAGCACAGTTCCCGCTCAGCCCAGTCAAAACTGTTCGCTGCTCTGGCACCCCAATGGTGGAACAAGCTCCCTCACGACGCCAGGACAGCGGAGTCACTCACCACCTTCCGGAGACATTTGAAACCCCACCTCTTTAAGGAACACCTGGGATAGGATAAAGTAATCCTTCTAACCCCCCCCTTACCCCACCCCACCCCCCCCCCCCCCCCCAAAAAAATGCTGTGATGCTAATGGTACACAAGGTGATAGTTGCTATATAAGGTGATGCTAATGGTACACAAGGTGATAGTTGCTATATAAGGTGATGCTAATGGTACACAAGGTGATAGTTGCTATATAAGGTGATGCTAATGGTACACAAGGTGATAGTCGCTATATAAGGTGATGCTAAGGGTACACAAGGTGATAGTCGCTATATAAGGTGATGCTAAGGGTACACAAGGTGATAGTCGCTATATAAGGTGATGCTAATGGTACACAAGGTGATAGTCGCTATATAAGGTGATGCAAATGGTACACAAGGTGTTAGTCGCTATATAAGGTGATGCTAATGGTACACAAGGTGATAGTTGCTATATAAGGTGATGCTAATGGTACACAAGGTGATAGTTGCTATATAAGGTGATGCTAATGCTACACAAGGTGATAGTTGCTATATAAGGTGATGCTAATGGTACACAATGTGATAGTTGCTATATAAGGTGATGCTAATGGTACACAAGGTGATAGTTGCTATATAAGGTGATGCTAATGGTACACAAGGTGATAGTTTCTATATAAGGTGATGCTAATGCTATAGATAGCCATAATGGCATTGGACCTGACACACTGCTGTGATGTAAGGCCAGCAGATTAGAGACATTAGAATCAATACTCTCCAGAAACACCAAGGCTATCTGGGCCAGGGACACAGTGGCAAGGGCAACACTGCTAAAATACATTGTCTAAATAAGTATTTATGATATAATAGCGACAAGGGCAACACTGATGAGTAGCTTGTGCAATCGTGGCAGGCTGGGTGGAGTTTACTATCATGCTCACACTGATCCAGTTGTTTCAGATCTAAAAGACTGTCTAGGGGGGTTGATGGTTAAGGGTCGATTAGGAATTTTGCCTTCCCACTTATCCACAACCTGCCACAAACAACTAATGGTCTCCCTACCAATCCCTTCTCATACATAAAATATAATGACAACATCTGTTACAGACAGTTAATATTGAGGAACAAGGATACACTACGTTTAGAAGCCTGGTAGATTGATACAAGTGGATTTGGCTTCTGCTTGGGTGTGGCGATACTGTATATATTTAGTAATTGTAAAAGTTCATATTTACTATGAAACTGCAGATTTACTGAATGCACACCGTTAACTGGAGTTGAGCTTTATAGTAAACCCCCAGCAGCCATAGTAGCCAGGGTAACTAACATATCTGTCATCAAACAGAGTTAAAACCACGGCAGCCTGAGAAAGAAAGAAAGAAAGAAAGAATCTGTATCTAACCTGATGTAGCTGTCCTCTGAAGGGATGCTCTCTTGGAAGAACTGGAACTGGTAGAGGTAGAGGACGACCAGGTGTCCAGCGCTGAATATGGCCATGAGGACACACATACAGCTGAAGATGAGGGTGTCGAAGGTCCGGCAGAACGACCACCACGTACACAGGAACAGGAACACGAAAAAGTAGACTGCCGACGTCAGGGAGGGCAGCATGATACCTTTAAAATACACAGATACACTTATAATGCATCAGGGAGGGCAGCATGATACCTTCAAATACACAGATACACTTATAATGTGTCAGGGAGGGCAGCATGATACCTGGTGGAAACAGAACAATATGCAGACAGACACATATAGATGCAAACGGATACTATAGAGAAACGCTGATATTTAAAGATCTATAGGAAGACAAAAAAAATAGGCAGCCGATGTCAGCGAGGGCAGTATTACACCTGAATGTGGACAAGACACACTTAGAAGCAGATACATAGATGTTTATACAGTAGGCTACACTGTGGTTGAGATGGCAGCATTGAAGTATACTGTATTGGATAGGGCCGGGAGTTTTTCCTGACAACATGACCTGATCAAGAACATCTGTTGGTTTGGGTCGTTCCATTCCATTTCAGCAAGCCATGACATCCACCATGTCAGATTTTTCTGAAATCGTTTCTGTAGTTAGAAACAGATAAGATTGACATTCCTGAAACATTACTTTGTTGAAAGGTTATTTGAACTCTGAGAAATGAAGCTAATTAATTGCACCCAAATTGCCCATTACAATGAATAGGATTCACATAATATTCATTAAATATAATACCCAACATCCGATTTGGACCAAACCACTTCTTAACGGCCAGTATACAATATCAGTTCTCTGTTTGACAAGTGGTATGAAGCTGCGGCTTGGAGCATTGTTTATTCATACTATGTAGTGTATTCTCAGGGAATTTCGTGATGGGTTGTTTTCCCTGTTCAGAGAAATTTGCCATTGATGGTGGGTCGAAATCATCTTGTGCTGTTTGAGGTGGAACGACTCTATAGTCATATTCAAAAATATAAATAACAGTCATAAAAGAAGTGTTCGTAAACATTGAGCGACTGAGAGTGGTTCAGGGGTTGATTCCTCTCTCTCACTGAGAAACACTGACCTGTGAGTCCTAACAGTACAGTAACCACCCCTTTTCCTGCGGTGGTTATCAGATTCCCAATGATCTCCTTCACTTTGGACGCCACGCCCGCAATGTGACGCAGAATCTTCATCTTGGTGCTCTCCTCCTCCTCCTCTTCCTCTTCCTCCTCCATCTCTTCCTCCTCTTCTTCTCCAGCCTCGTACCCAGCCTCAAAGTCCTCATCCAACAGGACGTTCTCATCAAGGCTCAACTTCTCCTCTTCCTCCTTGGTAGAGAGGGGAGACAGTCATAGATCACAAACAGTGATTAAACCATTTAAAGCCAACCTTTCCATATCCAAAATGGATACATAGTTGTTCCTATCAAAATCAGAACCTGGTTCTAGACACCGCCGAACACAGGTTCTTTTTTTCAACCTTGCAGTCTTCTAAGAAAGGGGTGGCCAGCCGTCCTAATGGAGAGCTAATGGTACAGTGTGGTACAGTGGGTTTGTCACCTGAGCTGTCCATGGTTCTGAAACATGAGCTGTCCATGGTTCTGAAACATGAGCTGTCCACGGTTCTGAAACATGAGCTGTCCATGGTTCTGAAACATGAGCTGTCCATGGTTCTGAAACATGAGCTGTCCACGGTTCTGAAACATGAGCTGTCCATGGATCTGAAACATGAACTGTCCATGGTTCTGAAACATGAGCTGTCCATGGTTCTGAAACATGAGCTGTCCACGGATCTGAAACATGAGCTGTCCATGGTTCTGAAACATGACTGAATCTGATGTCACCAGGAGAGGACAAAAATAATACAAAGATGTTTGTCTACTACACTACAGTCAGCAAATCTATTTCTATATGGCAGTAGTAGGTGTCATTATCTTGTGTGTGAGGGTGACAGTACCATCTGTGCCACTCTGTTTGTGGTTTTAATGAACTAAGAGTCGTAAAGCGAGAGGTGGGCAGATGCCAGGGATGGGGCTTAATGCCAGGGGGGCTGCCTTCAAACTCTATCATCACTCCTGGGGAACACTCTCTCTCCTAAACTCATATTCTGTTCTCAGTATCGGTGTTTATGAACCATGGGAGAGTTTGAAGCTGGGGCACTACGCCTGGCAGTACTGATGGGAAGGAGAGTCAGAGGGGGGGAGGGTGGGAGAAAGATAGAGAGGAGTGGGAGTCTTCTAAGGGTTGGCCATATGATCCATAGTATATGATGAACCAGAAACTATTCATCAAGGAAAAACACTTCAGATACTTCATAATGTTCAGGTTAAGGAAACACCCTCTGAACTCTGAAATAGGTCCCTAATTAGACGTCCATGGTGGATATTTACTTTTATTTAATTAAGTTTAATAAACCCTTAAAATATGTCTTAAAACATTATTTTCCAGCGCTGACATATTTCATTAACCAACAACCTGCCCGCTTGACCCTATCCCCTCCTCTCTTCTCCAGACCATTTCCGGAGACCTTCTCCCTTACCTCACCTCACCTCGCTCATCAACTCATCCTTGACCGCTGGCCATGTTCCTTCTGTCTTCAAGAGAGCGAGAGTTGCACCCCTCCTAAAAAAAAACTACACTCGATCCCTCCGATGTCAACAACTACAGACCAGTATCCCTTCTTTCTTTTCTCTCCAAAACTCTTGAGCGTTCCGTCTCTAGCCAATTCTCCTGCTATCTCTCTCAGAATGACCTTCTTGATCCTAACCAGTCAGGTTTCAAGACTGGTCATTCAACTGAGACTGCTCTTCTCTGTGTCACGGAGGCTCTCCGCACTGCTAAAGCTAACTCTCTCTCCTCTGCTCTTATCCTTCTAGACCTATCCGCTGCCTTTGATACTGTGAACCATCAGATCCTCCTCTCCACCCTCTCCGAGTTGGGCATCTCCGGCGCTGCTCACTCTTGGATTGCGTCCTACCTGACAGGTCGCTCCTACCAGGTGGCGTGGCGAGAATCTGTCTCCGCACCACGTGCTCTCACCACTGGTGTCCCCCAGGGCTCAGTTCTAGGCCCTCTCCTATTCTCTCTATACACCAAGTCACTTGGCTCTGTCAGATCCTCACATGGTCTCTCCTATCATTGCTACGCAGACGACACAATTCATTTTCTCCTTTCCCCCTTCTGATAACCAGGTGGCGAATCGCATTTCTGCATGTCTGGCAGACATATCAGTGTGGATGTCGGATCACCACCTCAAGCTGAACCTCGGCAAGACGGAGCTGCTCTTCCTCCCTGGGAAGGACTGCCCACTCCATGATCTCGCCATCACAGTTGACAACTCCATTGTGTCCTCCTAACAGAGTGCAAAGAACCTTGGCGTGACCCTGGACAACACCCTGTCGTTCTCTGCTAACATCAAGGCGGTGACCCGATCCTGCAGGTTCATGCTCTACAACATTCGCAGAGTACGACCCTACCTTACACAGAAAGCGGCACAGGTCCTAATCCAGGCACTTGTCATCTCCCGTCTGGATTACTGCAACTCACTGTTGGCTGGGCTCCCTGCCTGTGCCATTAAACCTCTACAACTTATCCAGAACGCTGCAGCCCGTCTGGTGTTCAACCTTCCCAAGTTCTCTCATGTCACCCCGCTCCTCCGCACACTCAACTGGCTTCCAGTTGAGGCTCGCATCTACTACAAGACCATGGTGCTTGCCTACGGAGCTGTGAGGGGAACGGCACCTCCTTATCTTCAGGCTCTGATCAGACCCTACACCCAAACGAGGGCACTACGTTCATCCACCTCTTGCCTGCTAGCTCCCCTACCTCTACGGAAGCACAGTTCCCGCTCAGCCCAGTCAAAACTGTTCGCTGCTCTGGCACCCCAATGGTGGAACAAGCTCCCTCACGACGCCAGGACAGCGGAGTCACTGACCACCTTCCGGAGACACTTGAAACCCTACCTCTTTAAGGAATACCTGGAATAGTATAAAAGTAATCCTTCTTCCCCCACCCCCCATTAAAATAAAATAAAAGTGGTTGTCCCACTGGCTATCATAAGTTGAATGCACCAATTTGTAAATCACTCTGGATAAGAGCGTCTGCTAAATGATGTAAATGTAAAAATAAAACTAGTGAAGTAATTGTGAGAAGGTCTGACCAATAAAAACTTCCAAAAGGACTAATTCGAGGTAGAAAGGAGTTGGAGCACTCAATAAAAAAAGAAGAGATTTATTTATTTTTTCGCTCACTGTAATCCATTATACAGGATGTGAACAGGTGGCTGGTGTTTTGATGTCTTCCTCAGAGTGACCTGACCATTGCACTTAGCCCCTATTTCTAGCCTCGTGGCCCATTGAGACACAACAATATATAACCAGATAATACTAATAAAAAGAGAAATAGTGTGTGTCGTTAATCAACAGGCCATGTCAACATTTTATTTACATAGGTGATATTTGGGTGTCTGTTAATCCGGAGACACAGAAACCCAAAACATCAATGCTACAACATTATAGAAACGAGGACAGTCAAACATCTTTGTTTAGCCCATTAGGATCCACAGTGACTAAGGAGTACTGCCCCTTAGGATCCACAGTGTCTAAGGAGTACTGCCCCTTAGGATCCACAGTGTCTAAGGAGTACTGCCCCTTAGGATCCACAGTGTCTAAGGAGTACTGCCCCTTAGGATCCACAGTGTCTAAGGAGTACTGCCCCTTAGGATCCACAGTGTCTAAGGAGTACTGCCCCTTAGGATCCACAGTGTCTAAGGAGTACTGCCCCTTAGGATCCACAGTGTCTAAGGAGTACTGACCCTTAGGATCCACAGTGTCTAAGGAGTACTGCCCCACTGTGCCTCACTGTGGATCCTAAGGGGCAGTACTCCTTAGACACTGTGGATACTAAGGGGCAGTACTCCTTAGACACTGTGGATCCTAAGGGGCAGTACTCCTTAGACACTGTGGATCCTAAGGGGCAGTACTCCTTAGACACTGTGGATACTAAGGGGCAGTACTCCTTAGACACTGTGGATCCTAAGGGGCAGTACTCCTTAGACACTGTGGATCCTAAGGGGCAGTACTCCTTAGACACTGTGGATCCTACGGGGCAGTACTCCTTAGACACTGTGGATCCTAAGGGGCAGTACTCCTTAGACACTGTGGATCCTAAGGGGCAGTACTCCTTAGACACTGTGGATACTAAGGGGCAGTACTCCTTAGACACTGTGGATCCTCAGGGGCAGTACTCCTTAGACACTGTGGATCCTAAGGGGCAGTACTCCTTAGACACTGTGGATCCTAAGGGGCAGTACTCCTTAGACACTGTGGATCCTAAGGGGCAGTACTCCTTAGACACTGTGGATCCTAAGGGGCAGTACTCCTTAGACACTGTGGATCCTAAGGGGCAGTACTCCTTAGACACTGTGGATCCTAAGGGGCAGTACTCCTTAGACCCTGTGGATCCTAAGGGGCAGTACTCCTTAGACACTGTGGATACTAAGGGGCAGTACTCCTTAGACACTGTGGATCCTAAGGGGAGTTTCCTAAGTTCCTAAGTAAAATCCTAAGTTTTTCTTGGTCAGACCTTCTCCTGATTTGAGTCCTTGTTGTTCAACACCCCTCCTTTCCTCTGCCTGTTGAACCTGAACTTAGTGAAGTTGTTAAGATGGATGAAGAAAATAAGGAAATAAACAGATTTTATAACAGAAAAATATAACCTTTTATTGGAATAAATAAAAAAAAGGTGTACATTTTAACAAACGTGTACGTGTTAGTGCATGTTTGAGTCTGTGCATGTGCCAACACGTACAAGCATGTGTGTGTGTGTGTGTGTGTGTGTGTGTGTGTGTGTGTGTGTGTGTCTGTGTCTGTGTGTGTGTGTGTGTGTGTCTGTGTCTGTGTCTGTGTCTGTGTGTGTGTGTGTGTGTGTGTGTGTGTGTGTGTGTGTCTGTGTGTCTGTGTGTGTGTGTGTGTCTGTGTGTCTGTGTGTGTGTGTGTGTGTGTGTGTGTGTCTGTGTGTGTGTGTGTGTGTGTGTGTGTGTGTGTGTGTGTGTGTGTCTGTGTGTGTGTGTGTGTCTGTGTGTGTCTCCCTCCACTCACCTCTTCCTCCGGTTCGTAGTCAGTGTTGTCCTGGGCCATGTCCTCTAGCGGTCTCTTCTGAAACAGACTACGACACAGCAGCCAGCAGGCCAGCCCTGCTAGAAACATCCCTATGTCAGGGAGGAACACGCGGATACCGTTCCCTGCATCTGCACCTATCACACTGGACACACAGCGAGACAGACAGAACTGTGAGAGGCGACAGAAAGGTTTCTCTCCAACCACCAGCCCAAAGAGTTACTCTTCATAACGTCTGTGTTTTACAACGGACGGTTGCTTCCCTTTCTTTAACATTCATTCTGATGATCAAGTATGTGATGCTTCTTAACGGAGAACTGTGCAGCTAATAACCCTTTAACACCACTGTAGCGCAATTTAAATTTCAAGGCAATGTTCCAGCGTTTTGCGGAGACTGCATTCATGGTTAAAACGTTGCATATGTCGGCTCAATCGGAAAATGACCTTTAAACGCGGATCTTCCGTGCTGAGATGGATTCCGGCCCCTCGGTAGCACTTTATTTTGTGATTATCAAGTTGTTGATGCTTCACACTGAAGAGGAAAAAGGTCCATGTGCAGAGCATCTACCGTTGCCACTAACACAGTAGGACTAACACCTTGACTAGACCGTCAGCACCATTATGTGCGTTCAATTATTATGTGTTAAAAAAAAATCACCGCCTGTTTGGCTGAATACATGGTGGGAATCAGAAGAGTTTTCCGTCTACAAAACATATGCTGTATGTTACATATGGGGTTCCACACCCACTTTAATGAAATCAGGCTAGCCCCGTATTAAATACTTCTCATTAAAATAAAATGAATTAAACTCCATCCAAACAATGGACTAAAAGCCATTAGAAGAAAACATAGTAGCTGTCCCAAATGGTACCTTATTCTCTATTGACTCTGGTCAAAAGTAGTGCACTATAAAGGGAATAGGGTGTTATTTGGGATACACCGTAGGTTTTTTTTTCCCCCCTCTCAATGCAACAGTGAATTTAGAACTGGGCTAAACATGTTTATATTCCCTAAGGACTGAATAGTTCCGTCGTAATCTTTGTTTATCTGGCAGGACTCACCAGAGGCATATACAACACACAACAAAGATGCCCTTCTCTGTGTGGAAAAGAGGCTTTTTAAAATGGTTTTGGGGATTCCTGTTTTTTATTTTCAAATAAAAAAATAAAAAAATAAAGTACGCTCATAAATGTTATGATGAGTAATACCCATTTTCATGACTTAGTTAAAATATGGAATGGTTTAGAATTGAGGTATGTGATATTATGGACATGGCCACACCAGCTTTAACTGTAGTAGCTATTGGAACAGTCATTGGGAACAGCACATCCCCTATCCTGGCACTCACCTACACTGACACACAAACTAAAACACATACACTGAGCTTTATATCCGGTGGGGTAAACCTTAGATCAGACAGGACAGGAAGTTCACCAAGAGGATTGTGGGTAATTGTTGTCCGGACAGCTGCTGATCGAGGTAGCAGCAGGTCTCTAATGGTGTGTGTGTGTGTGTGTGTGTGTGTGTGTGTGTGTGTGCGTGTGTGTTGATCGAGGTAGCAGCAGGTCTCTAACAGACCTGGGTTCAAATAGTACTCTAAATCTTGCTTTAGCCTGCGTGGAGTGCCATATGGGTGGGGTTTGAACTTTTCCAACTAGTCTATTGGTTCCACTGCGCCGGCATCCTCAATTCAATGCCAAAATGAAATTCAAAATATCTGAAAGTACTTGAACCCAGTCTGTCTCAAAATGGTCAGATATGAGATAGAGCCCAGTTTTCATGACTATGCTAGATAGGACAGGTCTGTCTAAATGGTCCAGCCAGTACTGTGATAGGGACAGGTCGGTCATATGGTCCACCCAGTCTGCTAGATAGAGGAAGTCTGTCTATAATGGTCCACCAGTACTGCTAGGATAGAGGACAGTCGTCTATAATGGTCACCCATACTGCAGGATAGAGACAGTCTGGTCAAATGGTCCAGCCCATACTGCTAGGAGAGACAGTTCTGTTCCGAATGGTCAGCCAGATACTGCTAGATAAGGACAGGTCTGGCTAAGGGTCACCAGTACCTAGAAGAGGAAGTCTGGTGTCTAATGTGTCCCAGCCCAGTACTGCTAGGATGAGGACAGTCTGGTCTCTAATGGTCGCCAGTACTGTAGGATAGAGGAGGTCTGGTCTTTATGTCCGCCGTACTGCTAGGATAGAGGACAGGTCTGGTCTTAATGGTCCAGCCAGTACTGCAGGTAGAGGACAGGTCTGGTCTATATGTCAAAGCCAGTACTGCTGGGATAGAGGACAGTCTGGTCTAAATGGTCAGCCCAGCCCGTACTGCTAGGATAGAGGACAGTTGGGTCTATAATGGTCAGCCAGCCAGTCTGCTAGGATAGAGACGGTCTGGTCATAATGCCCCGTACTGCTAGATGAGGCATCTGGCTCTTAAGGTCCAGCCAGTATTGCTGGATAGAGGACAGGTCTGGTCTATAATTGTCCACCCAAGTGCTAGGATGAGGACAGTCTGTCTCTATGTCCAGCCCATACTGCTAGGATAGAGGACAGGTCCTGTCTCTAATGCCAGCCATATCTAGGATAGAGGACAGGTCTGGTCTCTAATGGTCCAGCCCAGCCGTACTGCTAGGATAGAGGACAGGTCTGGTCTATAATGGCCCAGCCCAGTACTGCTAGGATGAGGACAGGTCTGGTCTATAATGGTCCAGCCCAGCCAGTACTGCTAGGATAGAGGACAGGTCTGGTCTATAATGGCCCAGCCCAGTACTGCTAGGATAGAGGACAGGTCTGGTCTATAATGGTCCAGCCCAGTACTGCTAGGATAGAGGACAGGTCTGGTCTATAATGGTCCAGCCCAGCCCAGTACTGCTAGGATAGAGGACAGGTCTGGTCTATAATGGTCCAGCCCAGTACTGCTAGGATAGAGGACAGGTCTGGTCTCTAATGGTCCAGCCCAGTACTGCTAGGATAGAGGACAGGTCTGGTCTATAATGGTCCAGCCCAGTACTGCTAGGATAGAGGACAGGTCCTGTCTCTAATGGTCCAGCCCAGTACTGCTAGGCTAGAGGACAGACTTTATGAAGTGTAGTCAGAAGCATCAGGACAAGCCATCTGACTTGCCACAACATCAAGGGAAATGCACATTTTCCTTGAAATTAGTTACAGATTTCAGAACCTTTAAAGGGCAATCAGCAGTTGAAACAATAACAAAGCGTTTTCTCCGCCCCTGGTTGGGTAAAAAGCAGATGGACGGGGCTGGAGAAATGTAACCAGTCTCAAATTCATAGACAGAGCTACGGTTGCAAGGACTGACCGTCCATAATACAGTGTCAACATGATAGTTTTGAGGCTATATAGTGTTCGTTCACAAACATTGTAGTAAAACAAGCTTATATGTTGGGTTCTGATGGGGTACGACAGTTGAACTAAGCTCATGAGGCATTAATAAGTTATATTCTACAAGAATCAATGGGGTACATGTCATTCATTTATAAGTACGAGGCTAATGAAGGAACGTGAGCGAAGCCTGGGTATGAGGCTAATGTCAAACTAATGTTTGGGTGTAATGCTGAGATGTGAATAAGTGCCCAACCACCGTCAAAGGTTAGTAAAAGCAAAACCAAACTTCGTCCTAAACTTGGCCCTCGCCTCGTTAAAGTTAACAAGTTAAAAAGCAGAGTGCTAATCAACGCTACGGAAAATGCTCACTCAGATGAAACACAGTCTAAACTCTTGGCTCCCGTAGAAGAGCTTAATGTAATCAAGACTCCTTGGGTACGTCTCAACAGACACCTTATTCTCTATGCTGTGCACTACATAGGGGTCCTGGTCAAAAGTAGGGCACTATGTAGGGAATAGGGGTGTCATCTGGGATGCATGCTTTGTTTCCACTAGATGGGAGATTTTATTGTTCTGAAGCTCTGTTCATCACAAATGGGTGAAAGAAATGGAAAGAAAAAGTATCGTCCAACACCAAGTCGAGCCAACAACACCAAGTCAAGCCAACAACACCAAGTCGAGCCAACAACTTTCATTTGTATTTTTCCTCTCCTGTTAAATGAGAGTACTAATATTGCAGCAGCAGTGGTGGTGAGACCATCCTATTGAAAAGGCAACTGAACACAACTGACGCGCAACATGCTTATAACTCTACACACATTAAGGATCCTATTGGGATTCATTTAGGGTCTGTTTCCCGGAGATTCCACAGAAGCCTATTCATTGACCATCATTTTTAGTCCAGGTGTAGGGTTAATCTGAGTCCAGATGTAGGGGTACTCTGGGTCCAGATGTAGGGGTACTCTGAGTCCAGATGTAGGGGTACTCTGAGTCCAGATGTAGGGGTACTCTGGGTCCAGATGTAGGGGTACTCTGAGTCCAGATGTAGGGGTACTCTGGGTCCAGATGTAGGGGTACTCTGAGTCCAGATGTAGGGTTAATCTGGGTCAAGATGTAGGGGTACTCTGAGTCCAGATGTAGGGTTAATCTGGGTCAAGATGTTCAGCTGTGAACATCATCAACACCTGTCCTGCACATTCTGCTACTGTCTGTCTGTCTGTCTGTCTGTCTGTCTGTCTGTACAGCTGGGATCCACACCAGTCAGCAGCCCACCGTCATTCTGACCGGATGTGTACACAATATGCTTTTCAAATCCCACACCCATCACTCGTTCAGATCCCACACCTCTTTCTCCCCATCACTCGTTCAGATCCCACACCTTTCTCACATCCTGTCTCAATCACTTGTTCAATACGTCACTTACTGTAGGCTTTTATCCAGACAGTAGACAGGCCTCATCCATATAGACAGACAGACCTTATCCAGACAGACAGACAGACAGGCCTTATCCAGACAGACAGACAGACAGACAGACAGGCCTTATCCAGACAGACATGCCTTATCCAGACAGACAGGCCTTATCCAGACAGACAGACAGACAAACATACAGACAGACAGGCCTTATCCAGACAGACAGACAGACAGACAGACAGGCCTTATCCAGACAGACAGACAGAAAGACAGACAGACATGCCTTATCCAGACAGACAGACATGCCTTATCCAGGCAGACAGACAGACAGGCCTTATCGAGACAGACAGACAGACAGACAGACAGACAGACAGGCCTTATCGAGACAGACAGAAAGACATGCCTTATCCAGACAGACAGACAGTCAGACAGACAGACAGACAGACAGGCCTTATCGAGACAGACAGACAGACAGACAGACAGACAGGCCTTATCGAGACAGACAGACAGACATGCCTTATCCAGACAGACAGTCAGACAGTCAGACAGGCCTTATCGAGACAGACAGACAGGCCTTATCCAGACAGACATACAGGCCTTATGCAGATAGACAGACAGACTGCCAGACATAACGAGGTTTAATATGCGTCAGATAGGGCTTGTTGACAGACTGTCAGACATAACGAGGTTTAACATGCATTAACAGAAACCACAAGTTGAGAAGGACAGGTCAGAACCATCGAGAGCATTTAGAAACCTGCGTCCCAAATGCCACTCTATTCCCTACATATAGAACTACTTTTGACCAGAGCCCAATCGGCCCTGGTCTAAAGTAGTGCACTATGAAGGGTATAGTGTTCCATTTGGGACGGCGCTTATGTCAGATCTCTGGCCACACATCTACAGTACATTAAAGTGGTGTGTATTGGTATTTATTGGAGACCCGGCTCACGCTACTCAAGGATATTTGGGAAGTGGACTGTGTGCAAGCTACAAACTCAATCTGTGGTGGCTAGTGGGTGGAGAAATGGGAGGACGGACCCGTTGTAATGGCTGGGATGGAATCAATGGAACGGTATAAAACACATCCCTCCGATTTAAAGTGACACCAGCCTCCACTGAATCCACTGAATTTTGCAGAAATACATGTGAGAACCTTCACTTGTATCACCCAGAATAGGACGAGAAGTGTGGGAATTTTAATGGGACAAATCATTCACTACACCCTAAACCTCAACTAAATCTTGTAATAAATAATGTGGAAATTGAGCAAGTTGAGGTGACTAAACAGCTTGGAGTAACCCTGGATTGTAAACTGTCATGGTCAAAACGTATTGATACAACAGTAGCTAAGATGGGGAGAAGTCTGTCCATAATAAAGCGCTGCTCTACCTTCTTAACAGCACTATCATCAAGGCAGGTCCTACAGGCCCTAGTTTTGTCACACCTGGACTACTGTTCAGTCGTGTGGTCAGGTGCCACAAAGAGGGACTTTACAATTGGCTCAGAACAGGGCAGCACGGCTGGCCCTTGGATGTACACAGAGAGCCAACATGAATAATATGCATGTCAATCTCTCCTGGCTTAAGAGGTCTCTTCACAGTCCCCAAGTCCAGAACAGACTATGGGAGGCGCACAGTACTACATAGAGCCATGACTACATGGAACTCTATTCCACATCAGGTAACTGATGCAAGCAGTAAAATCAGATTTTAAAAACAGATAAAAATACACTTTATGGTACAGCGGGGACTGTGAAGAGAGACACACACAGGCACAGACACACACATAACAAACATATTATACACACACACACACACACACAGGCACAGACACACACATAACAAACATATTATACACACACACACACACACACACAGGCACAGACACACACATAATACACACACACACACACACGATAAGACACTCCCTCTACACACACCTACACATGGATGTTGTATTGTAAATATGCGATAGTGGAGTAGTGGCCTGAGGGAACACACTAAATGTATTGGGTAAAGTGTTATGAAATGTAATGTCAAGTAATATTTGTAACTGTATATAACCGTCTTTAATGTTGCTGTACCCCAGGAACAGTAACTGCTGCCTTGGCAGAAACTAACGGGGATCCTTAATAAATACAAATACAAATGGAGAAGACTTTAAAAAATGACCAATTAGTTCAACTTAATATATAAAATGTTTTAATGAGTTAACCCAACGAGTTCTATTTATCCATGTATGGAACTATTTTGCTGAGCTTGCGTTTACCAGCTCATAGTCACAAAGAGTTCTAAAGAGAATGTGGTCGTATTGTTCTACCGGGCCACAGAATAGAAGACCTTCATGCTCAGTTGACTAAAAAAAACCCATTCAGATACTATATTTAATACAGCATGACGGCTGTGGGGGGAAATATTCTACAGCATATTTTAGGGACTTTTATCCTTTGTGTTTTGAATGCATTTTTCTATTCTCTTTTCTAAATCAGGTTTGATGTTCTATTAAAGGTAAATAAAAAAATAAATAAAAAGAATATGCAGATGGAAGATACAGCAATAATACTATGGTATACTTATAATAACAATAACAACTTTATTTAAGTGTGTATGTAGATGTGTGTATTTAGATGTGTGTATGTAGATGTGTGTATTGTATGTGTGTATTGTAGGTGCCTTCAGAAAGTATTCAGACCCCTTGACTTGTTCCACATTTTGTTGTGTTACAGCCTGAATTCAAAATGGATGACATTTTTTCCCCCACCCATCTACACACAACACCCCATAATGACAAAGTGAAAAAGATTGTTTATATAATGTTGGTAACTTTTTTGAAAATGAAAATACAAAAATATCTAATTTGCATAAGTATTCACACCCCTGAGTCAATACATGTTAGAATCACCTTGTGTTTTAGGTTATTGTCCTGCTGAAAGATGAATTAATCTCCCAGTGTCTGGTGGAAAGCAGACTGAACTGGGTTTTCCTCTAGGATTTTGCCTGTGCTTAGCTCCAATTGGTTTATTTGTATCATGGAAAAACTCCCCAGTCCTCAACGATGACAAGCATACCCATAACATGATGCAGCCACCACCATGCTTGAAAATATGGAGAGTGGTACTCAGTAATGTGTTGTATTGGATTTGCCCCAAACATAAAACGTTGTATTCAGGACAAAAAGTTAATTGCTTTTGGCAAATGTTTTGCAGTATCACTTTAGTGCCTTGTTGCAAACAGGATGCATGTTTTGGAATATGTTTATTCTGTACAGGCTTCCTTCTTTTCACTCTTTTCACATTTAGGTTAGTATTGTGGAGTAAATACAATGTTGTTAATCCATTCTCAGTCTTCTCCCATCACAGCCATTAAACTCTAACGGTTATAAAGTCACCATTGGCTTCATGGTGAAATCCCTGAGCGGTTTCCTTCCTCTCCAGCAACTGAGTTAGGAAGGACGCCTGTATCTTTGCAGTGACTGGGTGTATTGCTACGCCATCCAAAGTGTAATTAATAACTTCACCATGCTCAAAGGGATATTCAATGTCTGCTTTTTTTTATTTTTACCCATCTACCAATAGATGCCCTTCTTTGCAAGGCATTGGAAAACCTCCCTGGTCTTTGTGATTGAATCTGTGTTTGAAATTCACTGTTTGACTGAGGGACCTTACAGATAATTGTATGTGTGGGGTACAGATATGAGGTAGTCATTCAGAAATCATGTTAAACACTATTATTGCACACAGAGTGAGTCCATGCAACTTATTATGTGACTTGTTACGCACATTTTTATTCCTGAACTTATTTACATTTTACATTTGAGTAATTTAGCAGACGCTCTTATCCAGAGCGACTTACAGTTAGTGAGTGCATACATTATTCATATTTAGGCTTGCCATAACAAAGGGGTTGACTCAAGAAATGTCTAAAAACACAACTTAACTTTTACATTATGGGGTATTGTTTATAGGCTAGTGACAATCCATTTTAAATTCAGGCTGTAACACAACAAAATGTGGAAAAAGTCAAGGGGTGAAAATACTTTCTGAAGGCACTGTATGTATACTACAGTATCTCTATAATAGTATGGCATATAATAATAATAATAATAATAATAATAATAATAACCTAGTTTGTTAAGTCTATATTATGTACAATATATACTGTCTGTTTGTATTGTCTTACCTTTCGAAGCCCATCTGCCGTATAGATTTCTCCCACGTGGAACCTGAACAGAATCACAAGAGCATTTCATAAGAGCAGGTACACATTTCATAAGAGCAGGTACACATTTCATGAGAGCAGGTACACATTTCATAAGAGCAGGTACACATTTCATAAGAGCAGGTACACATTTCATAAGAGCAGGTACAGACACTTGGTTGATTCAGACACCTGGGTTTAGCTACATTCACTACTAGTTTGAAGTCTTCCTGATCCTGGTCCTGATTCTGATCCTGTTCCTACCAAGTGTTCCTGATCCTGATTCTGATCCTGTTCCTACCATTGTGTGTTTAAAGACATATTTCCAGGTATTCTAATTATTTTCTATTCACATCATGCCGAAAATGACCCACGGCTGATAATGCACAAAATGACCTACGGCTGATAATGCACAAAATGACCCACGGCTGATAATGCACAAAATGATCCACGGCTGATAATGCACAAAATGATCCACGGCTGATAATGCACAAAATGACCCACGGCTGATAATGCACAAAATGACCCACGGCTGATAATGCACAAAATGACCCACGGCTGATAATGCACAAAATGACCCACGGCTGATAATGCACAAAATGACCCACGGCTGATAATGCACAAAATGACCCACGGCTGATAATGCACAAAATGACCCACGGCTGATAATGCACAAAATGATCCACGGCTGATAATGCACAAAATGATCCACGGCTGATAATGCACAAAATGATCCACGGCTGATAATGCACACAATTATCCACGGCTGATCATGCACTAAATTATCCACGGCTGATAATGCACTAAATTATCCACGGCTGATAATGCACAAAATTATCCACGGCTGATAATGCACAAAATTATCCACGGCTGATAATGCACAAAATTATCCACGGCTGATAATGCACAAAATTATCCACGGCTGATAATCCACAAAATTATCCGCGGCTGATAATGTACTAAATTATCCACGGCTGATAATGCACTAAATTATCCACGGCTGATAATGCACTAAATTATCCACGGCTGATAATGCACTAAATTATCCACGGCTGATAATGCCTTTGTTCCAGTGCCAAGGGAAAAACATAATCACCTTGGAGACTACAGACTAATCTAGACTAATGTCAAATCAATCTGGAGGTGTGTGTGTGTTTGTCAATTCTTTAGCAGAGTATGTAGGTGTTGAATATCACACTGATGTCTTATAACTAACAAACCTTCTGACATCTCTTCATCATTTTACCCTCTTATCTCTCGTTCTTTATCCCTCCCTCCCTCCCCCCTCTCTCTCTCTCGCTCTCCCCCTCCCTCCCCCCTCTCTCTCTCTCTCTCTCAACACAGACACATCTTCTTTCTGACACTTCTTCATCATTTAATTATCTTCTCTCTCTACAAATTGGTGCTCTCTCTATTTATTTCATTCTCTCTCCTCTCTCTCTCTATTTCTTTCATTCTCTCTCCTCCTCTCTCTCTCTCTCTCTCCTCTCTCTCTCTCTCTCTCTCTCTCCCTCTCTCGCCCTTGTTCGCCCTTTTGGTTTCTCTCTCTCTTTCTCTCTCTCCCAACACATGCCTTGAAACATCCATCAATGTTGGTGGAAGCCGGGAAGGCAGCTCAGTTCATATTTTCTGGTTTGAGGTGTTTAACGTTAACAGGAAGCCCAGCAGCAGGGGACACTGCTCTTGGCTTTTCAGACCAAGAGGACTGTCTTGAAATAGAAACCCTTCCAAGTCACAACCTCGACATAACAACCACAGTAATGTTAGGAATGTCCTGGTCCAAACATTTGTAACACCTAACTTCACCCAGCCCAAACTGAGGAGCATACAGGTGTATGGAGGATGTGGTGTGTGTGTGTGTGTGTGTGTGTGTGTGTGTGTGTGTGTGTGTGGAGGGGATGGGGTTTAGGATGTACTGTACTGTTGGCTATAGCATTCCTCATACAGCATCATGCTTTAGGAATGACATAAGTAACATCAGGGGAGATGATCCAGGAACTGAACAACTGAAAATATGACACAGCATAAATAGCAATTAGAGGGAAGGAAGGAAGGAAGGAAGGAAGGAAAGAAAGAGGAAGGGAGGGAGGAAGGAAGGAAGGAAGGGAGGAAGGAAGAAAGGAGGAAGAAAGGAAAGGAAGGAAGGAAGGCAGGAAGGAATTTAGGAGGAAGAAAGGAAGTAAATTAAGAAGTGAAGAAAGGAAGAAAGGACAGAAAGCAGCTGAAAGGAAGGAATGCCCCTGCTGGTCTAAAGCCCTTTCCCACTGAACTTAGAAATATTTGAGGCTAGGTGAGTTACTGTTACTGAAACACCTGTCCTGAAACTGTTTTAATATAACTCCATAAAAATATTGTTTAAAGCCATTATATATTCATTGAACCATTATATTATGAGATGTACGTTTCCTGAAATATAGCTTTATCCTGTCAGACTACTGGCTTTACCCCGTCAGACTACTGGCTTTACCCCGTCAGACTACTGGCTTTACCCCGTCAGACTACTGGCTTTATCCTGTCAGACTACTGGCTTTATCCTGTCAGACTACTGGCTTTATCCTGTCAGACTACTGGCTTTATCCTGTCAGACTACTGGCTTTATCCTGTCAGACTACTAGCTTTATCCTGTCAGACTACTGGCTTTATCCTGTCAGACTACTGGCTTTATCCTGTCAGACTACTGGCTTTATCCTGTCAGACTACTGGCTTTATCCTGTCAGACTACTGGCTTTATCCGTCAGACTACTGGCTTTATCCTGTCAGACTACTGGCTTTATCCTGTCAGACTACTTTGGCTTATCCTGTCAGACACTGGCTTTAATCCTGTCAGACTACTGCTTTATCCTGTCAGACTACTGGCTTTATCCTGTCAGACTACTGGCTTTAATCCTGTCAGACTACTGGCTTTATCCTTCAACTACTGGCTTTAATCCTGTCAGACTACGGCTTTATCCTGGCAGACTACTGGCTTAATCCTGTCAGACTACTGGCTTTATCCTGTCAGACTACTGGCTTTATCCTGTCAACTACTGCTTATCCTGTCAGACTACGGCTTTAATCCTGTCAACTACTGGCTTTATCCTGTCAGACTACTGCTTTATCCTGTCAGACTACTGGCTTTATCCCTGTCAGACTACTGGCTTTATCCTGTCAGACTACTGGCTTTATCCTGTCAGACTACTGGCTTTATCCTGTCAGACTACTGGCTTTATCCTGTCAGACTACTGGCTTTATCCTGTCAGACTACTGGCTTTATCCTGTCAGACTACTGGCTTTACCCCACCCAACTACTGGCTTTACCCCGTCAGACTACTGGCTTTATCCTGTCAGACTACTGGCTTTATCCTTTTCAGACTACTGGCTTTATCCTGTCAGACTACTGCGTAGATTTAAACATTTCACTCATTCTTCTCTATCCCTTGATCCTGATAGTCTAGTGCTGCAGTGGGGAGAGAGACGCCCAAGCAGGGGAGGAAAGAGAGAGGAGAGAGAGAGCAAAGAGATAGAAAAGAGGGATAGAGAGAGAGAAAAGAGAAAAGAGGAAGAGAAAAATGAGATGAGAGAGAGAAAGGGGAGATAGGAGAGTGCAATTGAGATAGAATATAATTAGAGATCTTATATAATAATAGATAAGATCTCTCTATCGTCTCCTCACTCTCTCTCCTCTCCTCGCATTACATCCTTATTTTTTCTCTCTCCTTTTCGCTCTCTCTCTTCTTATAATTTTTCTCCTTCTCTCCTTCTTTTTTCCCTCTAACTCCTTTTTTCTTTTCTCTCTCTCTCCCTTGCTTCCTTTGCTTCTGCTTCTCTCTCCTCTCCTTCTTCTCTCTCTCTTCTCTCCTTCTCTCTCTCTCGGGAATCACCCATCCATCTCTAAAAACCCCCTTAATCCAATTTTGTTATCTATTTAAACTTCTCTACCTTTCCCCCTCCTTCTCCTCGTCTCTCTCTCTCTCTGCTCGCTCCTCTCCCTCTCTCCTCTCTCACTCTCCTCCTGTCCCTCTCTCTCTCTTCTCTCCTCTCCTCGTCTTCTCCCCTTCTCGCTTCCTTTTTCTTTTCCCCGTTCTTTCCCTTCTCTTCGTTTGTTTTCCCTTCTGGTCCCTTTTCTCTCTTCCTTCTCTCTCTCTTCCTCTCTCTCTCTCCTATTCTGGGCCAATTTTTTGGTTCCGCTTCTTTCCGAGAGGAAAAGAGAGACAAGCTGCCCTGCTCCCGTCTGTTAATCTCTGTTCTCCCTGCTCTGCTCTGTAGCAGCTATCTGTCACCATGTTAGCTTACTGAGGTAGTCAGCCCATTCATACCTGTCAGGTTCTGGCCAATAATGAAGCACATGAAATGATGTACACTATCCTGAGATAAGATCACAACTGTTTCAGCATGAAGGAAATTTTTCTTGTTCATATCATTTTGCCAAAGGGAAAAGGGGTGTCGAGGGGTTTAGATCGGATAGATGACCTACTATAAATAATCCTATTTGTTTTGACAGGCATTAGTGATGTACAGTCCTAAGGAAATTCCAACATCTTCACATATTATTTTGATTGTCAGTTAAACTAAACTTTTCAGAACCTTTTATCAGTGACGCGTGCATTGCTCATCAGTGATGTACTGGGAAATATAAAAAGTCTCCGAGGTACTTATAATTCCACTTACAGGGGAAATTTTTTTTTATTGAATTAAATTTCTGGGAAATCTGGAAAAAAAG